GTAACGGAATACGTTACAGAATACATTTTGGGGCATGTATTCTGTATTCTGTAATGGAATACATTTTAAAAGTAACCTTCCCAACACTGTCAATAGAGTACTTGTAAAAACGAAAATGTTATGTGGCCTTTTTATGTAGCGCAGGTGTTTATTTCAGCTATTCACCTCCATTAACTTGCACTCACTGAGGACTATCTAGGCTGAAATGCAAAAACTCTAATCTGGCCCAGTGGACGGCTTTTGAAAGTGTGAAGGAAGACATAGACTCTGGGCTTTTAACTGTATTTTCATAAGTTTTACAGCTTTTCCTATTGAAAAAACCCACCCATCCCAACACTGCCATACACGCCACACCAAAGTAATTAAAGTGGTTTCTTTGTCTTTGTTGGACATCCCTGTCCTACAGCCTTACATTCATTTTAGCATTTAAATGTTCACTTCCAGCATCATTAGCCATGAATCCACCATAATACGAAGGCAGTTTGTTTATACAGAATATCGAGTGCAGAGGATAAGGCAATATCACCTCTCCAATGGCAATAGTTTGAGATTTGCCAAGATAAATTTGTGATATAGTATTTATTCAGCTAAGGTTGAATAATAACGTGAGTAAGTGATACAGTCATTCTGAGACAGTAGATGTTTTGTTGCAGTTTGAGAATTAACATAATTCGCGCATGGCCAAGTGGGAGTTGCAGGGAATGTCCCCAAAATACAATGTCCAGTTGATACGTGAGGCTATATGCAAATGTCCAAACAAATAAAAGATCTGAACAAAATGAAAGCAAAAGGCTCAAAGTTTCACTCCATGCATATTGTTTTTAAAAACGCTCTGGTTACTGCTGACCTCTTCTACACAGCCCAGCACTCCGACACATTTTACATTCATGTGTCAAAACATTCAGAGCTGCTCACGCACACGTGCGCTTCTCGATATAATGGCTATCCTTAAATTCCGCCTACACTGTTTTAAAGACTGGCCTTGTGTCTTTAAGTTTGAAAAGACCCACAAGCACAGCTTTTAAGGCTGGTGAAAGCAAGCTTCTACAAAGCTGTGGCGTTCGAAGCCGTGGCCTCTATAGCCTGCTAACTGTACAAGCATACGTGTTTGAAAGGTACATTCAAGCACACTGTTGCACTGGAGTCTCATGGATGCCTTTCTAGTTCTGGGTTGAAGTACATAAACATACTTAAGCTTTTCTTTAAAACACTCAGGGATGGCAACAGGAGCTGTACTGATGGAGATATCTTTTCAGCACAAAGTTTCTGGCCTTCAAAGCTTGCAGTCATTGGTAAGTAGAGTGTTCATTCTTCCCACACAACAGGGTGCATAAGAAAAGGCGTTGAATGAATTGACAAAACACAGTGTTCACTAAAGCAAGGGAATCTTTGGAGGATTATTAGCAGGTCACAGCAGTATTTGAAGAAGAATGTAGTATACAGCATGACCTTATTGAGCCCTCCTAAAATACTTTGATTTGCTGGGAGTTTCTCTGACTAAAATGGACCATCAGTGTCAGTGTTTTGTTTATTACTCAGTAAAAGTAACGTATTACACATGATTCATTACTTTTTTTAAAAGTAATAAAGTAATGCATTACTCTGTGGAGGCAGAATGCCCTTCACACAGGTCAGTCCAGAGGTTGTTAAAGGACACATCTCTGAAAGTTACTTTATATGGTTGCAAACATGTTTAACCCTTTAAGACCTA